TTTGTTTGCCAAATATCGACGGCAACGCACCGTTTTTCGCGATAGCCGCGAGATTGTTCACATTCTCCTTGGAAGAAGCCTTTTTTCGATAGTACTGGTTTCGAATCGACGCATCCTTTAAACTGCTAGCGAACAGTCACAAAAAAGCCCTGTGTATCAAGTCACTTTTTTTTCGTAAATATGTTTAATGAAATATACTTTAGACCATTATTCTTATCCCAAACGCCGATGCTGTAATGATCTATCTGTCTATATTTAATCTACCAAAAGTCTTTAGTAGCAACTTTGTCCGGTTCAAAGCAATCTTTTAATGCAGGTATGTTGGGCTGATTTTTTTAAGTTGCTAGAACCTCCGCCCGAAAAGTGCAGCCGATCAGCCAAATGTGACTCTCGCTAAAGGAAAAGGTTAGCTCTTTGCTATACAGTGTAAATTAAGGAAATAATCTTTTTTTTTTTTTGCTATCGAGAATTCGCGAAAAATAGATATTTCAAGGTTATTTTTTTCAAGTTTTACAAAATGAGGTCTACGTGGGAGTGTGAAAGCATTTTCGATTTTTCACCTCTTTGTCACATATGTGTTAGTGGATGGTTTTTGCTGAAATGATTCATAATTAGTGAAAATAGTCATCTCGGTTGTTTTTTTTATAATGTCCAAGTACCGTTTTTCTTATAGTGTTAAAGGAGTTTAGTGGGTTAATCAATATGCAAAATAGTTGATGAATCTGAATGATCTCGATATTTACAATCCGTACTCTTCGGTCGTATAAATATTATGTTTCGTGTAGTAGGATTTATTGGAATGAAAGGATCGAAAAAATACAGCACAGTATTAGGCCTATGTTTGTTATTAGGCCCAACATGACTTAGAATTAGAACAGGATGATAGGATGACAGCAGCGTGGTAACAGGAGTGTTAGAACAGTTTAATCGGGTAACAGGGAAACATGTGGAACAGGGTAACTGCAACGGGATAAATGCCACAAATAAACTGACTGAATCGGAAAAATAGCATTGCTGTAATGGGATAGCGGCAATGAACTAACAAATTTGATGTTTTAGGGCTTTAAAATGAATTGCAACGGGATAACTGTAGAGACGTTGGTCTATAATTATTAAACTGCAGTCTGTTTAGCTAGGTATCGTGCGAATCAACCCTTCTTTCGCTGGTGATGTCTCTCCAACTATAAATCGTGTTTTTTGTAGTTCTTGTTTGGAATCTCTGGTAAATATCTCGAGAAGTGGTTGAAGCTGATGTGAAAAATATTTCGGTGATATTTTTTACAAAAAAAAAACTCGCCGAAGTGCTAGTCAGATATATATATATATATAGAGGTTTATGTTGAAGGATATTATTGGCTATCAATTGAGAGATCTTGAAAAGCTAAGTAAAAATGTTGTAAATGTACTGTATTTTAAACTGATGAAAAAATAAGCATGATGTCTGTGTTTCTTACGTGGCCATGAAGTGAGAATTTGTTTTGAAGAATATCGAACGGTTTTTGGGCGAATCCCTAGGTGGCTTATGAGGCGAATATTTCTGTAACACTTTTGTTTCCAAAATATCCGTTAAAAGATCTTTTGATAGTAACATTAGAATATCAAAACTTTCCTATACAAAGTGGCGCTCTCTTGATTATTTTCTCAATGCCAATCAATAGATCGCGACAAAACAAGTAAAAACGCAGTACATCTTCCTCTATCTAAAATAGATATTTCAGCACGAAAACCGTCAAAAACTGAACACGTAACTCTTTCGTTTATGTTACACTGGGATAAATATTTTGCACATTGAATTCTGTGCTGGAGATATTTCTCGGCACCAATCAGCAATTCCCGATAAGCTAAAATACAATTTCCATTTTTGGGTTAAGAATGCGATTCCAGTAGTGAAAATATAACATGGTGTTATATGTAAATCGTTATTCTTTGCGATCAACTGGTAGATCTCAACGAATTAAGTGAAAATATTGCAGATGTCCTTATCTTGAAACAGATATTTCAGCGTAGGAATGGAGAAAATCTAATTAGTAGTATTCATTCTCTTATGTAACACTGGGTTGCAAAATGAGCACCAAAACTGTTTCGAGTGGTTTTTTGGGCAAACTTTTAATAAACGTTACTTGGAAAGTTAGGCTACGTGAAATGCAAATCGAATTCATTTGTCACGTTTATGAAATAGTAACGCATATGTGTTGTAAGGTGACTGAAACATGATTAATGCTGGCGTATACTATTATTTACATTAGGTCGGGTGGCATCAGCAGAGGAAATAAATTAAATCAACCGATGTGAGAGAGGCGCTGGGTGAAGCCGTATAGTCTTTCTCTCTACACTACAAAAACTGTGTTTGTCTGTCCGACCCAAGTCTGATTTCTGGCCTAGCTAAAGGTCATCTTAGGAAAGCTGTCCGTAAGGTTGAAAACATAACACAAGAGTAGCTGAATACTTTTCCGAATAGAGTTTGCTTTTTATTCCATAGAATGCAATGTAAGTTTAAGCAAGTTGGTCGTTTTTTGCGATTCTTGCCTTCCTCAAGAGTTTTCTTCCAGGAATATATAGGAGGATTTCTAGGTGAATAAAAATGGAATACATATTGCTGTACCTAAATGGATGTTCCAGCGCGAAAGTAGTTAAAAACCCATTAAGAGGTTCGTATTCATATTAATAAGGTGAAATTGCGTTTAAAGTTATTTCTAAGGGTTTTTTTTAAGCCAACTACTGATAAGGGTCGGTTGGAAAGTTGTAGCGGCTCAGATGATATATAAGTTAAACATCTTTTTTAAAAAATGTCATTTGAGAGAAACATTAGAATATGAAATTATTTGTGTTACCTAAGGTACAACCTTGATGGTGTCAATTTTTTTACACCAGTTAATACATCTCAATGAGTTGTGTAAAAATGTGATATATCCACCTATAGCTCCCAACAGCGTTGAAAAGGAAAAAAACCGAATGTGGTATTTTTTTCGCCAATGGGATAATAAGGTGACTTTTAATTAGTTCTTTTGATGATTCAGCTTTTAATGAGCTAAATAAAAATGCATTATATGTTTATATAGAATATACTTCAGTTTTCGAGTCGAAAATGTTGTTTGAAGCGTAAGAACTTAATTTGATATTGTGTTAAAGGAGAGTTTCTTACGCCGGTCGATAGATCTCGACGAGGTAATTAAACACATCATACATATAATGCGAGATCTAAGCGAAAATAGCCAAAACTATAATGACCGTACCTATCTAACAATTCAGTGAAAATACACTTTTAGACGCTTTCGAGTGGTTTCTTGGAGGGTGTAACAAATGTCAACTGAAAGCAACTAATAAACTTGATTTTCGTGAAAAAAAATCATTGACCATTTTTATTATAAAAATGTTTCAAAATATGTAAATACTAATCCTGAAGAAACTTAAAAAAAACTTTGGTGACTTCCTAGGAACAGAGTCAACACATCTTCTAGGTTTTATAGAATCATTACGAAATGTTCAATACACCTTCATTTAATTTAAAATGTGCAGTTATTTATTATAGAATAAAAGAAAAATAAGAAACTTTCGAGCCCCGGTGACCTCTTGGGAATAGGGTTAATAGGTTAGCCGATTCTATAATTCGCAATATCTATTGAAGTCGGTCGAAGACCACTTTATTCGCGTACGTTTCCCAGAGGTCAGCCGACACTCAGCCCTATTCACGTGCGTCCGGGAAACCGAAACTGCTACCCAATACTCAAAAATCCTCAAAATCACGTTACAGAAATATACCAAAAATCAGGGTACCACAGGCAAGAGAAATCTTGAGTTGGCTGATCATATTGGCGAACATATTAAAACAAGTTGATGAGTGCAAAAGAGTAACTGGTTATATGCACAATGGGAGAACTCTAGGTTTATCTAATAGTTGAGTTAGGCTCAGTGTAATATTAAAGAATTATAGTAGTTAAACAAACAGCAAAATAAATGCGAGGCGACACTTGCAAGCCCATTTAGTTTTTACTATATGTGTGGTGGGCTCTTAATACGGTTAAAAATCTTGAGTACTGTTGACACCTTCTAAAATGTTTATACTTCACAATTTTTGTGGTTACTCAATATTTATTATTATTTAGTATGTTTTTTTAGCATATAATTCAGAGCTAATTATTCTTATAAGCATATTCTTCTTTAATAAAAGCTCTCACTATAAAACGAAGGTCATTATTTCCGTGACCGTTACTGTTGGTTTTTGGTATAGCATGGGATTTAAGGGCTATCGGATAGTGAACATTTGAGAATGAATGCATTTGAAGACAATTATGGCTAAACGTTGGCCAAAAAAGGAAGGTTCCCAAACAGCGGACAACTATCATATTTAAGGAGGTGCGTTGTTTAAAATCTCCGCCATATTGTCTTGATTTTTCCTTGATTGCGTCTTTCTTGGAAATAATAATAATTCTATAAAAATAAACGATCAATCATTAGTGCGTAAGTACGTATGAAGTAGCGTCTCGGTACATTGGGCATGCATACTAGGGCCATGCACACGATCTGATTTAATTTCCCGTCCTCTATATTCTTGTACCTCTTTTTTATTAATATAGTCATCATATTTGCCTTGATTTCCTCTCATCTTTCACGTTGAATGCAATCGGTCTTATTACGTTACTCATCTTCTTCAAATAATTTCTACACTCTCTATATTTCGTTTCTTCTGTGCGAAGCGTAAGATACCTACGAGCTTGCTAATAGCCACTATTAAAATAATAGAAAGAGACTACCAAGCTTTGATAAAGGTGTTTTTATTAGACCAAGCATTGCGTAATCTTGTGCTTGCAGTAATGGGCACACAATAAGCCAAGCAAGACGCACACCTTAGACTCAACACCGCCGAGTTTTTTTTATTTTAAGCAACAATGCGCTGTCTAAAATGTAATTTATGTGTCTACATACTTATTTCTTAACATAGTAATAACTAATAGCGATCAATACCGATGTCAAGTAAGACCCCTTAATAACTTCGTTTACAGGTGTCTGGCATCGGTCAGCCTTCAGTGTACCATGCTGTTATTGTTATTTTCTTCGAGTTCTTCTCGTGGGGATTGCTAACGACCCCGATGATCACCGTAAGTAATTTTCCTGTTGCGAAAAAAGGCATCTCTAGCAAGATTAAACTCAATTTTAGAATATTAATGGGAAGAAGTGTTATTATTTGCAAAAACGATTTAGGTAAGCATTGAGCATTAGAACCAACCGCGTTTAGATTCTAATATAGATGTCAGTCTGACCACAGGAAAAAGCAAATTTTAAAAGCATTTTTTTGATTGAAATTCGTTAAGGAATCGGCTTCAGGTACATAGATAGACATTAAAGATAGCAAAGGTTAATCACTAGCAAAAGCTCTACGATAAATAAGATAAAAATAAAAAATGAAAAAAAACATAAAAAGTATTGTCGACATTAGGATAGCGGAGAGCATGCGGTTAGCATAAAAGACGCAACCTTTTTCCTTTGAAGAACATGCTTGTTTAATACTACTCTTATTCGCTTCGACTTAGGATCTAAACCGACAAGTTCTTTTAAGTTTTAATGAATAGCGGTGAACTAATACATGCCAATAAATGGCTTTTTCTTCGCCCTCTAAATACACTAAATTTTTTGAGTTTAGCTTCCATAAAATGAAAAACATATTTCGCATTAAAATTATGGTAATAATACATAAAAAGTAAGTGGCAACTACATTTTAAACGTGCTGAAATGAAAATCTGACTATTTCTTATGAAATGAAGAGGGGGATTTAGTTCTAGTATGAAGAGTGGGGACGAGTAACTTTAAGGTTCAAAATGAGGAGCTTAAGCGGAGCTAAAAAAATGCAAATATCTAAGAATAGCGGTTTACAACGATAATGAACTATAGAGCAGGCCAGTTTCAGAAAATATTAAAAAGAACACGACGTTGAATAAGTAGTCTTGTACAAGATTTCAGGTTCAGAATCAATATTTAAAAAAATACAAAACTTTATTTGAATAATTAGGAAGGAATGGAAGTTTGTAGACGGCTTTCATAGATATATATATATCAAACAGGATTCTAAGGATGTTTATTATTTGCGTGTGTAGACTAAAACCGTCAAGATAATATGATGATGAAAACGGCATGTTTACTGGCTGTAAAAATCGATTTTTACGTTCAGAAATACAAGGATATTCTAGATTGATTACGATGGTTTGTAGTATTCATGTGTAGCACGAGACATATTGAGCCACCTTCCTGAATCAGCCAGTGGGCGTCAATGCGTAACACGTTGCGCTCCTACACTCTAATCAATACGATTGTAGAATCAGTTTTTGTGTCGTGTTAGAATGCGAAATATTGGGTAGTTGAAACAAGTTACCGTTTAAATAAACTCTATATGAACCGGAAAAATCACAATCAATGCTTTGCAGAACATCAGTATGTAAAAAATAAAAAGCTGATTCATTTATTTCAGGTATTGAACGATACATTTCCTGACCACACATTTCTGATGAATGGCCTAATCGTAGGCATAAAAGGCCTATTGTCGTTTCTAAGCGCTCCGCTCATCGGCGCTCTTTCGGACAGTCTCGGCAGAAAGTTTTTTTTGCTGATAACCGTCGCCTTCACCTGCGCTCCTATCCCGCTCATGATCATTAACACATGGTTCGTTGCTAATTTGCGTACATTGTTACCGCCAATAAAAGTAATAAAATACGTATGATTTATACGTGCGATAGAGTACAGGAATATTGATGAGTTTACACATTATATTATTATTCTTGTACTTGTTTTGTAAGCATTGAAAATTTTTAAGGTTTGGATATCGCAGTTGAAGGACATGCAAAATGCATACCTGCATTCCATTTACTTTACAAAACAATTTTGCTTAGGCCTTATTCTTAAAACATAACAATACATATTTGAGCTCAAACCGATTTACTGCGCTCAACTCGCGGTATTGTTATAGGATATACTACCGTCCGTTAAAATAATAGTTTTTGATACTACAGTGCAATGAAGTTGATTCGAGCATTATCTAGATCAGAGTCGCGAGAAGACAGAATCTGAAAAGAGCTAAAAAAGTACTTCTATTACCGCAGAACAATCTGTAAATGGACCATTTGAATGCGCTGCGTAGCACTTACGATGTAGGCTAGCAGGGCACGCCAGTAATGCTAGCATCATTTGTCATCTTGTTTTAAGCATCGCCGATACCCTTTGAAATGTTGACCTTCCATAGAAAAGGCGATGGAAAGAACTAACAATATTTTCGTAAAAATTACACCTGAATAAAGTTCCGGTTATGGCTGAGGCGATAGGGAAGTCGGTAAACCGGCTTTGCACGTGTCCCGTGTTCACGCAAAAATCTTTTACTAAGACCTCTCTCACAAAAGAAAGAACCTTTGGAGTGCGCAATCCATGTACTAGTCACAAATTTGTTAACATTCAGTTCTACTAGAGTATAGGAAAAGCGAAAAATGCGTAAGCGAGAGAGTGACCTGAAATCAGTTAAACATACAGGCACGAATGATACGAAGAATATGAACTTGTGAACGAAAAATGACGGCCACAACTTAAAAGATCGGGTTATTAGAGGTTTGCCAAAGAAGACAGAGATGTCTTTTAGGGAAAATAAATTCCACCAATGACAGCCGGGCGGACACAAGTGCAGCATATATGGTTAGTACGTCAAGCTCGCACATCTCAAAGCTTCCGCAACAGCGTTTTAAGAATTTCAAAAGCTGAAAATTGTGAGGTACTTTGAATCGATGGTCGACCAACGGAAAGCTTTTAAAACTCAAATATTCCACGAAGTTCATTATGCCGGCAACTGATCGTCAATTGGTCCTTGCGTGACAAGTACGCAATTGGAGTAAGTGGACTGAAAACCATCAAGCGTACCGAAGAATACTGGCTTATTGATAATAAACTATATTTTAAGTAGTATGTTCTACCATACTTTAGGGTGATACCGACTGTCATGCCAGCTAATACAGAAGTCTGTCTCCTAACGGCTTACGACGCGCTTATCATTTAAGTTGTAACGTTAAAAAGCTCGACGAATTTCCGAAAACTCAGAAGTACCAAGGTTCCCAAAGAAAGGCTGCAGCCTTTTGTCCGGGGGATCTGATTCAGTTGTGGTTGAAAGTCCAAAGTCAATGCTGATGCAAAAATACAGAAATCGGAGGTCGAACTTTGTAATTTAAAAGCCTTGCTTCTATCTGTTTTAAAGTATATAATGTTGATTTCTCTTTTTACAGAGCTTTTACAGATTTGCTTCTGCGTTATGCGTTCCATGCTGCTCTGCTTAGTCTATTTTTTAGTATGTTTGTATCTTTTGACCTTGTATACACCACAATATATTAGGTGGTTGAAGAGCTATTGGCTGTTTTAAAGCTAGAATTGAAGCAAATATATTTTCTTGATTTTAAAATAATAAACTACATATGCACCACTTTGAGCGATGACTTTTTGTGTATTTTTTAATCATACTATATTGCTACCACTGTTGGACTTCGGTGGCTTCTTTGCGAAAGTTTGCGACAGGTGATTTTACGCATCCCTCCATAAACTAAATTACTCCATTAAAAAAGTTTCAAAGACTGAAATAGATGATACTCTCATGGTGCAAGATCCGAGCCATACGATGAATGAATTGAAATTTTCCGTCGAAGTCCCCTAAATTTCTTCGGGCAGTTGTCTGGCACTACTGTAATGTAGGGCGACGTTATTTCCGTGCGGCTTCCGGTCGATTTTTTCAGTGGTTTATTGTAGTCTTGTTAGCCGTTTCTAGCAAAGGTCCGAATCAATAATTTTGCTAGAAGGCAATAAAACACAATTTCCTTTCAATCCAATACATGGCATTACCCTACTCGACGTCAATTCGGGCAGTTTACAGATTGTGGAGCGCATTTTTTTTATTTGCGCGGAATTGTCATGTGTGGTTCATTTTTTTATCATCCGTGATGAACCGTTTTAGAAGTGGCTACATCTCGCTGCGTTCCTGCGGAGTTTTGCCAATGGAAATACAAATTCGTTTTCGTCAATTTGCGCAGCGCCCAAACATCAAGTTTTTTTTTTTTATGTAACTAACTTTTTTCCAAATGGTTTAAAGCTTTTTATTTGTGAATGTTTCCTTGACGAAATCTTGGTGTCCGCCTTGCTTAACTTTCACGATGATTTCCTTGAAGTCTGCAAAGGCATTGTACACTACACGGTAGGTATATTTTACTTCCCAGGATCTTCCACATCATTTTGTAGAAGAACAGAACGATTGAGTTTCTGTCCGTTGCCCTGCCTTTTAGACTCTCATTAGGAGTCCGTACGCAAGAGGTCAGTAATGTTGTAATTAAGGGTAACTTTGGCCTCTCGCATGAAATTGGGCAAGGTACTACCCGACGCGTATTGCGTGAATATCTCAGCTCAAGCTTACAGGTTATGCAAAGTGATGTACGTTTGCAGCATAGACTGAACAGCAATGCAACCCAGAAATTACCGGGTAATATCTAAGTGGTGTAAATTTCGCCCACTATGGCTACGGCCTACGCTTGGGCCAATGCGTCGCGGCTTCGTACGACCTTCGAGCTAAATCACAGCACTTTGTGGCTTGTTTGGACCACCACGTACATGGCTGGCTCGGATAATACGGAAGTTTATACCCTGTGCCACTGCTTCACCTTTACTGGGTCCGCGGTCTTCATTTAGCCGAGGTCGTGCGAATGCTCTAAGTCAGTAGGCGCAGCCACAGTAAAGAGATTGTCATTCTTACAGATTCCTTTGATGTTCTTCAAAAAAAAGTCCTAAAGACGCAAGGTAGATATAGTTGGTCTGCTTGGAAAATTTTCCTTGGATTAAAGTATAGAAGTCTTGCTCTCACCGTTTTGTGCTAGCAACACACTCCCATGATAGCCTTTGAGTGGCTGGGCCTTGAACTACTGTCATTTAGCTAGAATCGCTGCAAAGCGGCCTTGCTCATTACCAGGACCCGCATACCCAATTCTGAGACAAGTAGCAGAAGACGAAGACATCACGGAAGGCTTACGTTGCAAAAGTTTGAGGATGACACCAGGGTGTTAAAAATGGTCTAGACGCTTACGCCTATATTGCTCCGTTAGCGTAGACACACTATTAAGCAGAGACATGGCCCTTGTGCTGAAGCATCTTAAGAACGTCAGCCAAATCTGAACGCAAGAGGTAAACGGTTGTATACTGAAAAGCACATTTCGGTAGTGCGTCCGGATGTAAACATACGGGTAGTGGGTACAATATTAATAATAATGTTATTAATTTCAAGTGAATCTGATCAAGACCGGTGTATAAAAAACTGCCTGATACCTGATAAATCGCAGCAAGCCAATCGCTGTTTTATTGACAAACTTATAGTTTTCACCAATTGCTGTCAATAACAAAGCTGCAATTGACATACTATAATTTGTTCAGGATTAGACGGACCCTTATATACTCGTCAACCACATTTACCAAAAAAGTAATAATATTATGTATTACGCACAAAAATTACGGTATAATACATGCCTTATTGCTGAAACTGCGTCTGAACGAAAATAGAGATTTGAATGAAATTCTCAGCGTGTGCTGGACTACCATTCTTAACCGTGGGGTTTATTCTATATAATTACTATTGACCTCGGTTGCGCTTCGATTTAAAGATGATTAATGATAGAAACCTAAAGCACTCATTAGTCATTTTTAAGATATTAGTTCCTTAATCCGTTAATAAGTGCATCAAGCAATATTGCTAGACGTAATATAGTTAAAGCATCATATATATGCATTCTCATATAAAATATTCTAGCGGATTTAAATTGGGAGTAAAGTAGGCGAAAGATCCCAAAAATGCAAGGCTTCAAAAAGGCTAAAAAGCCTAGAAGATGCAAAAAAGTGTAAAGGTCTGACAAAGATTAACCGTTGGAGCTTATCTAAATGATGCAACTGGAAATTCCAGAATAATCAAAAGTGCTATTTTGAACCATTTCGATAAACTTTCGAGCTTTTTATATCGAACCCCATTAAGATCTTGCGGCTTGCCTCATGCAACTCCTTATGTAAAAACCTGAACCACTTAAAAGCTGTTTTCAAAAACTCATTTTACAAATTCGCAAATATTTTTTTAGTAGTTCCCCCGAAGCGATCCGGAAAGTTGACTCGTTAAGCTTTCGCTCAAAAATAAAAAAAATGTTGAATTCTGGGCCAGAAAAGCGAAAAATATAATCCAAAGCCTAAAAAATAAAAGTCCGAAATACAAAAAGGTCGCAAATAATTAAGAAGTTCCCTACGTGCATGACTTTAAGGCTGATAGAGGACCTCATTTGTGAAACGGTTTAATATCTGCATATAGATTGTATATTGCATATATCATATTGAATAGAATTGTTGCACGATTCCTGTTGTAGATCTTGCATGCTGACGCAGACTCTGCCCGGATATTTCAAAAGCCAAAAATAACTAAACACGGCATAGGCCGTTGGTTTTACAATTTCAATGCGGTTCGTCTGGCATAGTGACATGAAGTAAAGCTGACCTTCGCTTATATTATATAAACAAAGCTAATACCTCTGTCGTAACGTTTCTAGAAAAAAAAAAATCTTTTAATATCAAAAATCACCGAATTGCTCAGAAAGCCATTTCTGATACACCTGCATTTTCAGATATAAATGGGCTAACTCTATTTTTAATTTTATCCTTATTTTTTAATTTTTTTTCGTATGTAGCATATTTGGGCGTAGTTTACGTCCCAATCTAAAGCTGTAATCGTGGTGAATAGTGGCAATGTTAAATTAACATGATTAATTTCCTTTTTAGTGCATGCAAAAAAGGTTTGTCTAAATATAGATTTCTATTTAGATATGGGCTTATAACTAGATCATTGGAAAAATCTGGATTTAAATGCGCTCACCTATATATACATTCGAATATAACCTTTAAAGAATTTCCATGCATTATCTGCTTTTATGAACGCGATTGATAAGAATTCTAAGACAGCCTTAATTTCTATCTTTCCAATAGGTAGAGAGATACAAGGCATGTTTTGCACGTCTCTGTCTTCTAGTGTTCAAATAGAAATATGTTTCTTAAAGAGTGTTCTCGTAGGGATTAAACTAGAGCACTTTTGCCTTATTATCTTTTAGGATTTGAAAAATGGCTCAAAACAGTTTTTTTTCGGAGGTATCTTTAAACTACTTTTAGCGGGTTGGTCCCGTTGAGGTATTCCGTTTTGTATGGTTCCTTTTCTTGTAATGCAAAGAAAAATAGCATTAGCAACAGTATGACAACAACAGATTTACGAGCACTGTTGCTGAAGAAATGGTCTATTGAGTGGACGTCATGGTAAAATAAACTTTAAAAGTTACTTCTTAATTAAATTGTGGTGTCTCTAGAATTAGCTCGTCGATGAGATTTTGCAAGAGCATTTCAAATTAGAAAACTCTGTGCTAGATGAGTCTCGCAACTGCTCACAGAGGAGAAGTACAGCATATCTAGCGGTACCCACAAATGCTGGCTAAATTGTAATGATGGTCGCGGTGTGCTACGGATATAGTAGCAAATGACGAGTCATGGACTCAATTAAAGAAGGCACTAAGTGGCTGTTAAAGTCTTCAAAGAAAACAACCCGCCGTTACAACAGATATAGAAGGAATCATGAGCAGACAGATAATCGCAATTGTAGAAGTCGTGCAGTAACAATCCTACATGCGAAATAAAGATCAGTCACTACTTACTAATGCACACCAGCTTGTCTGCCGAGGGTGCTAGACTTGCCTGAAGAGAGAGGATCAAAGACAGACCCCTGGGGCGACCATTCAACCACTCATCTCAACGAACTGCAAAATCACACTGCAAACCTAAATACGGCATTTCTATTAGGTTGGTACACACAGTTTCTGTTTTAGTTAATTGGTTCCCTCTTTTTAATCATTCGTTTGCTAATAATTCTGTAACAAATTCATTGACGATTGTCGTGCTAATGAAGTCGGGGTATAAAGATTGGTATGTCGGGTGGCAGAGAACAGATTTTCGACATTTTTACATTTTGAACCTTTCACGAGCTGCAAAAAATGATGCGAAAGTTACCCAGAATATTTGTTCTGCGTACAGTGAGGAACCTACAATTATTAGATTTGGCCTTATTTAATGATTACTTTATTTCATGCATTTTGAAAGGTCGAGTGGAATGCGCTCTTTAGGTCATTTTTAAGTTGTATTCTTAGCTATCTAGTTGTTGTTGTAAATTCCACATATTCTAGATTGGTTCGGAAAGTTTTCGGTGATTTTGGTGGAAGATGAGTAAAAATTAACGAGAATATTGTTTTTTGTCCATAAACATACCTATCTTTGAAGTCCTAACTCAAAACAAAGTTTTGTGATTCGAACAAAAAGGTGACCGTGAGTCTCCTGCGCCAACACAGAGGTTGGAAACGCTTTATAACACTGGCTATTAGCAAAGTCAAAGCGAGGAAAACTCAATAGACAAGAAAGGACATTATTACTTTTGAACAAATATAATAGTCTTGCTCAAGCCCTTTGTGATTTTATTATATTTGCAATGATTGAGGTCTAACAAGAAAAGTGTTCTTCGGTGTTTTTAGGGGTATAAAAAAGAGATGATGATTGTCTCAATGGCATAGGCACGTAAATTTCTTTTGCATCGAATCACCGAAAGAGCACTTTAAGGATAGGCAGTAAACAATGATCGACGATTGATGTTTTCGTTTCAGAAATTTCGGCGGCGACCTGCTATATATAACGCGCTAGCGGCAGAAATGATGAGGTAAACTTCACAGCAACTACTGAAAGAATGTAACACTCACTGCTCATTTCAGGTGGTATTTCGCTATGATTTCTCTGTCAGGGATGTTTGCTGTCACCTTTTCGGTCGCGTTTGCCTACGTGGCAGACGTTACAACAGAGGAAGAGCGATCTACGGCGTACGGGCTGGTCTCGGCAACTTTCGCGGCTTCAATGGTGATCTCACCCGCGCTAGGCGCGTACTTAGCGCGATTGTATTCACGCAACCTTGTCGTTATATTAGCAACGTTGATCGCAGTAACAGATGTACTCTTCATTTTATTTTGTGTTCCTGAATCAATGCCTGAAACAATGCGTGCTAAAATATCGTGGACTACAACACTTTCTTGGAAAAAAGCCGACCCATTCAATGTACGTTGTTGCATTATATTATTGTGGCTCTTACGTTTACTTCAAACCAGATTTTTAAAACCTTAGTTTACAGAAACCAGCGCTATTAATATTTATACTCTTACACAAAGTCATACAATGTAGTGCTAACACTAGATTGCAGCTAATTAATAACATCACTAGTTTTTTAAAATCAAACAGACTCATTTACTCACCTTTGTCAGATAGATATTTCTTATGCCCCTAATTACGTAGTTCATGAAGTGCCCGGAACGCACTTTGAGTTACTAATGATAGAGAATAATATGTTCTATCTGTGGATCTTGATAAAACTGTTTTCCCCCATATTTTGCCCCTCCTACCCAACGATGACATAGAAATATAGTATATGAATTAAATATAACAACTTACATTGTATTCTGTAACGTCTGTTACAGTCGTTGCGTCGAGTTGGCAAGGACCAAATGATTCTTTTGCTCTGTATGGCCGTACTGCTTTCGTACCTGCCAGAAGCGGGACAATACTCGTGTTTCTTTGTTTATCTACAGCTGGTGATTGGCTTCAGCCCTGATGAAGTTGCGTTATTTATCGCCGTAGTCGGCGTTCTATCCGTTGTAGCACAGACACTCGTGCTTGCCGTTATGATGAAGGTTGTTGGAGATAAACGAACGATCATGGTGGGACTTCTCTTTGAGATGCTACAACTTCTCTGGTACGGTTTCGGCTCCGAACGATGGTGAGTCAGGCTTTAATGTCCTACTTCGCTCAGCATACGTATATTTTATAAACACTGGCTTTAGCGCTGGATATTATAGCTCTAGTATTAATCCTTTTTCACTTTTAAGTGACTAGAACGGCCAGTGAGTGAACCGATAATATGTTGGGCTGTTTAACATGCATTGAGAGCTGCTCACGCCAGATTGCTTGGTACATGGGTTACCCTACCTGTAACGCTTTCAGCAGTTTCGACTCAGTTTAAATGATGTCTCATTAAGGACCTGCCTCGGTGTTTTTTATCTCACTTTCATCCAGTCGGCAATCACTTTTAGTATATTTATACGTTCAAAAGCGCACAAGCTGTCACAAAGGTTTTGAGTAGTAGTAATCATGGATTTCGTAAAGTACCAGAAGGACTCGTAATTGCTAGTTTGTAAGCATTGTCTAGTAATATGCTCAAAAGGGCAGAAAGTAAGACCGATTTGATCCTAACAAAATTCAAAATTAACCTAACACCCTTACAGTTGATATACCGCACCTGGAGAAGCGTTGAAGGAACTGTAGACGATAGTGAAAGTTAGTCGTTAAAGGAGAGGTGCCTAGCCTTGACAAAAGATGTACAAGTTGATTTTCGCTTTGATACTGATTACAGGATTATGAAGAGGGAATCTGACGGGATGTCAGGGATTTTGGTGAAGCTGGAACGGTTGGAAATTTAAATATTGGTTTACTATTAGGTTGTAACACGAGTATAGACCGTTTTTGTTCTTTTCTCCGTGTTCTATTTTACTGTTCGTGCAGTTCTAGGTGGCGCACAAAAGCGCTTTCTCTCCTGTACAAGACTTTTGTGATGTCATTGTACAGTGAACGGAATTTTATGTTTTAGCTCAAAATATTGGTTGGAAAATGAGAAAAAAACGTCGAATACATAATAAATTAGTTTGCTGCTAAAATCCAAGTAAAACGCTCAGGTTTTTTTACTAGAAAAAAAGATGGCCTTCTGTTACAGGACAGTAGAATGGACCTTCAGGCAGCGCTGCCGTTTCTCTTATACGTTTCATTACCGAATTTCGCTAACACTCCATGCCATGTCACAAGTGTTGTAAGCAAAGTATGTTCGTTTTCATCTAAATGACGTATCGCGCTTTTGATCGACACAAACATATCCATAATGCCATGCGACTTCAGAGATCTCCATGGTTAATGAACGTCTGAAGTTAGGCAAACAATATTCCGAAAAATGTTTTGTGTACGGTTGTGGTGTAAAGCCGATGTCCTTAATCTTACCCATTATAATTATGAATCTTATAAGTTACTAAATAAATATGGATTATCAAGTTATAAGTATGAATTATTAAATCTGACTTCTACTATGTTTTTTTTAATCATGATTATCAGTTAGACGATGGCAGATTACCAATGCAGCATCCTCAATCCATTTACCAGTTTCTTTGATTATAAAGCGGCCAATGTAAATTTTATAGATAATTATTGCAATGCAATGACAACTAGTTACACGTTGCGTCCAATCGGTAGAATGTATGACGCTAGTTTAAAACAGGCGTATATAACCCTACAGTGCTAAGTTACACTACAACAGCATTAGGACAACATTATCAAACCAAACAAATAATTTTTACACAGCTTTTAAAAAGTATAGCTTGACGGACAGCGCTTCGCATAAAATGCCTGTTCGCAAAGGTTGTCATATATATGCGAATGGTTCGATCTCATCGCATACGGCACTCAAGGATCCGAATAAAATTCCATTTCGTAAACAGACAACTTCTATGTATATCATTGTTAATTTTCCCTTGTTGATATTCACAAAAGTATAGTTGCGAGATGTATTCTTGATATCAACGTTCTGGCAGGCTGCAGAACCGCAGACTAAAGCTAGTCAGATCGGACATCCATCTGGCACCGCTCCATTGGTTCCGAAATGATTGAACGCCGTGAAACTATATAGTGGTTAGTCGGTCCACAATGGAGGAAATGGGCTGGCGTCAGGGCGGAAAACTTTATCAAGGTACGCAACCTGACGATCGCTGATTATGGTAACAAACTCACAAACAGATGTATAAATCCGCTCTTTGAAGCTAACAGATTTACGACGGAGAGCTTTCTATGGGTGCCGTCTTTACTCGATTAAAAATGTGTTCATAGAATTTTTTTTACCAGGATATGGTTTGCTATGGCTGCAGCTTCCGGGATTCAGAGTCATGTACCGAGTTAAACCGAAGTTTTGTATCATTAACGACCATCGACGCTTAGCCAAGTAGGTCTACAGGGCACAAGTTCCAGTTATACGGTTGTGTATTCATACAAGTGAACAAGGTGATATATGTTTTCGTTGACGCCTTTCGTAAACGTATATCAAAAAAAGTCATCAAAGTCAAATTCTGTGAACCCAAACAGTATGATGAACGACACACGCCCCGACGGGAACAGTAGTTGCTGGTTTTGTGACATTTGTTAATTGACAGGTTTAAGAACTCGAATGATTCAAGAGTGGCGCTGAAGAGTTGACAACACCACGCTAACCACCAAATGAGCATTGGTCAGATGGAGATGTTGCACAAGAACGCCAGATACGCAAAATTTCGCTGGCTTCATTATAAGGCTCATCCCGTCGTAGCTAAAGTGCGAGCCTTCTATTAGCTGTGTTTTCGTCCTTAGCAATCCATTCTTGACGACGAACAAAATAAATGCCGCAAGTGCCGATGAAGGATTCTTGTGTTCATCAAATAATTCAGTTCAGCCCAGTTAATAATGGTCTATGCCAGTAGCAGGCAAAGAACGTCACGATAACGCTGGCATGTGGGGCAACCCAAGCGTTTTCAACTACTGAGGTGACTAAGAGGCTTTAGAATGGTGGCGGTCGAGACACAAAGAACAATTGTGGGAAGTGCAGGAGGACTTACAGAACCGATCACATTCAGCCAACGGAAACCAGTACGATTTTAATCACCATTCAGAAGTATGCTTGACTTGAGGAACCGAAATTCGGTGCGTAGTCCAGTCAGCAATTTTCCAGACTCATGAAACCACTTGCTTGCAGGCGACAACTTCTACATCTCAGCGACATAACCAAAACAAGGAACGTCTACTGGGGCGGCGAAATTGGAAGACGCGGTCCAGCTTGGTTAGCAGTTTCTCAAGAAAATACAATCGCCTTATTGTTTAGACATTGCTCAACTCATATGTAAGCAAATTTTCGCTGGCACTAATCAGTGGACCATTTACAGACAGGCCACTGTAGCGTATGCAGTCAGCAGAAGCATCAGCAAGGATATAAAAGTGATTCGTTGTAATCGCCTTAGTGATCGTACTGGCACGGGATATGCATATCGCTTATTCCCGTGAGTGCTTCAGCTCAAGTACGAATCAAGCTATTGATGAAGTTACCTATGGCTATACGCACCCATAACCATACGTGAGACTAAAATTTCTGAGTGAGCACGCAGTGTGTAAAGCGTGAAAAAAACCTATAAAATCACTAATGTGAAATACTGTAGGGCAAGATTTTTCGTGATACGCGAGAGGTTAGAGCTTTCATTAGCGAGAAACGGGAATGTGAAACTGTTCGATTGTCGGAGATTATATGATTCCAAGTACCTTAAGGATCACACTGTTCACCAGGCTAGCGTGGTTGACGTGCTGCGATCAACTAGATCGTCGGTGATTTCTTATGAATTAATTTTTTATTTGGCTAATTGCATATTAACTTAACCAGTAAGGTATGTAGTACGTTTTAAATTATCATTTCTCAGAGTACGTTCTGTCGAAGTGGAGTATTGCTCTCCCGCTATTAGAACGATTCAAGACTGTAAAAAAATTGTTTCGAGTTAAGACGGCACAGTGCAATTCCCGGCTGTTTAATAGTTCAGTAATCGAACGTCGTCTTGACGTCGATGCCGTATCAGAGATGCAAGACTGGATACGTTAGCATTTTCAGTGGACAATAGGACTGTGCACGACTCCTCAGTATTACTTATGGCCAGGGCTTTTGTATATTACACAACGAGACAGTGTGCTATGTTCCAACGTAATGCTCCCCAGCCCACTGTAATCTACCAACCACCTAATGCAACTTCGACAACTAAATCGTTCGTTGAAGACTGAGGAGCGCGCTTGCAGGCAGTACTAGTGCAGACCTGATAGCCTGAAAAGCATCAGCAGTACATTAAACAGAGTGGCTTTAAATTAGAAGCCACGAAACGTAACGTCGATCTAAATGCCATAGTAACTGGCGAACCGAATACGATATTTCTTGAGTCCCGATGCTGCTGTGATTTGCGAATCTTGATTTTGTCAGATCCAACTTGCACGACAATCTTATACTTCGAAACTTTTTGGCGAACGACGCCGTTCAGTATGCGACTTAGCTAGGAACAGTGCCGGACTTAAAGGCTCAAACCAGTTATCCATTTTATTTATGAACCTATTTATATGCTAACCGAGGGGGACAGAAGTGGTTTAGATTTGAGTTTTGAAACCTAAATATACCTCTATCCTCTAACAAGAATGTACTAGCCCCTTCTGCTCAGTACTTCAAGATTGCTTCGAAGAGGTCTTCGAAGCAATGTTAAATAACAGTACTTGGGTTTGCTATGGTAGGAATAATTGATAACCAATTTCTCAAAAAGTTTTATCACCAGTGGTGCTAATGTCAGTTCTGTTGTTCGATAGGCAGATGCATAAAGGTGCAGTGTTTACAGCCTTTCCCCATTTGGCATTATAGGCCTTCCAAAGCAAGGTACGTCTGTATGATGACAACGCTAGAAGTACGCAAAGCAATTGTTTTACTGACCATCAATCCAACTCTGTTCTCGGAAGTTTACACGACTAGGACAATAAGAAAGTGCCCAAAACTTATTGCCACAAAAGAAGCGCGGGTACTTTCTTCTACAAGTTGTTACGAAGGTCACTGTCGGTTATGTGCTGCTTTGCGGAGACCTGCGAAACGAACAGTGACGCTGTTATGTCGCATATTTGAGGTGCTGAAGCCGACGTTACAGTGATGATGAACGAAGCATGAGCTTCATTCAACATCAGTTTGTCTCTAATTTAAGTCCAACGGCTTGAAGACAGCTGCTGAATTGACACCGCTGATGTCGAAACTTCTAACCAAGTGCCAAGACACTTCAAGTAAATAGGTAGGTAGGTAGATACGTAATGACCGCCGTCAATTTATCGGCATCACTCGAAAGTTTTCCCTACTTTGTCCAGTTTTTAGTATGACCTTTGAGTAGCCTAACGGGTCTTTTTCGTAGTATCTGGAGAAACATTAATTGTTTAATGTTAAGCGGCGGTTGTCATTGGCAGATCCGATGGATAAATCGCGATTTAGGAGAATGGAGCTAAGTTGTAAATGATACTCTTTATGCCCTTACCGTGTTATGTGACCATAGAATAGCTCTGCATGTTAATGGTGCTATATGAACGGGTGATCGACGACCTTTTTGTGCAGCTCCGTGCAAAACTGAATTTCGTCATAATTACAGGAGCTTCTTGTAGCTAGCTGCTCTTATTTTCGGAGTCAGTCAACGGAGTGTAACTTCGTGGCTGTTGCTTGAGCCAAACGTGGCGGAGTGGGGTAGACGAAAGACATGAAACGCACAGAGACACAGCGCAAGCTGCACAAGCGTAGCACAATATCAACTTGGCTTAATTAAGATATGGACCTTTTTTAGCCAACAATTCTACGTGAGATAGCACGTTTTCTTAGACACTGTCCAAAGGAAGTACAAAAAATATCCTCAATCTGGGCACGTAAGCGCGAGCGACATAGAGCAAGCGAAGCGTGCGCTGCTGGTAGACCTATGATCAAACCGGAGCAAACGATCAGAACACCGGCACAGTGTTGCTCAGATTCTTATAACAAATCACGATTTTAAATATGGCACCATGTGCAACGTCTCTGGGCGCTTGACGGAAGATTACGATTCTTTTAAACTATTGGAGCGTTCAGCTAGGAGAACACACAGGGACGGCCTTTTCGTCATATCCTTTAGCACACTTGTTAGTCATTTAGTATGTCCACCTAGGACGGGCGTACGACATGCCAAGAATACACATTCTCAACTTTTTTTTTTTATAAAGTGTTCAATACAAACATTATATATAATTATATCACGAGCGTGGTAGTTTATACGGCACTTTTGACTGCCAGTCACGTACTCCAACTCTTTCACATATGCGGTATTAATATTGCCTCCCTAGATTTTTTAATTCGTGCTCCTATCACGAAACATTGTTCTTGGTTTCCAAGAACTTATCATGTCGCCCGTATCTCCTTTACTTTGTTTTAACCTTACAGTGTCAACTTAACAAAAGTAAATCCGAGAGATTCCTTTAACAGTAGAAGAGCTAACCCTTCCAACGGGATTTGACGTTCCATCTACCTCAACGTCTTCGAACGGAGCCGCATAACTTTTTCGAGGCCCTTGGGTCGCCTCTATTTTTAATTCAAAGCTTGGCATGCGCTTTAGGTTTCGCTGAAGCCAATCGGACCATACTCATGTACCTACGCAATAGACTGGATTGTTTCTCTAGCAGACGGCTTGGTTTTCTTCTTCTTTTTCTTCTTCTCAGTCATCACCTTCGATGATAAGCAAGGGGAAAAGTTAGATTCGGAACAAGTTATAGCTGTTGAAGCAATGTGCCTCTTCTCTAGACTTGAGCTATTGGTCGAGGTCAGTCCCGAAACCATTCTATATAATAGAAGTAGGTGCCCTTTCATAAAAGCTTTCCAAAAAAAGCGTTTTAAACCAATGACTTTTCTGAATTTAGAACAAGTTATTCTTAAACACTTTTTTTAGCACTTCTCATTAAATCTAGGACTAGACCAGTTTTCTCATAGAAAGCCATTAGTGGGAAGAACCCTTAGTGACTGCTAAGCACCCTAATCGCTATTTGTGTGAAATTTACATAACTTTGTTCCTTATTTGGCTGGGCCATTATTGATGACCAATAATTACGCTCAACTAAGGCTATTTACTATAAATCGTAATATTATTTTAAAGCACACGCTAACCAACTTGGTATGGCATAACTACTGTCATGCTTATATAGACGTGGTGACTATAGTTAATGATGGTAGTGATATGTTCATGGTGCTGCCTGTTTGTTGCAGGATGATTTGGTCGGCCGGTGGTTTGGCGTCCATCTGCTCGATCACATACCCTGCAATCTCATCTTTCGTCTCCACCCATGCCGAACCGAACAAACAAGGTCTCGTACAGGGAATGATCACAGGTGAGTTGAGATCTTATTCCAACAAACAAAGTCGAAAGCTATTTCGTGCTAACAACTGCGGGGCTGTGCTAGCTTTGCTAACTTTGCACCATAAACAACGTTCTACCTAGCTTTGTTTCGAATATGTATTTTATCACAGCCTTAATAAACAGGTAACAGACACCTGGCTACGTCATTTAAAAATCAACTGAACACAGGGTTAGCGTAGAAAAAAGGGAAAATGAATTATGATAGCTAACATAATCAAGCTGAACTGTTGTCTTTCTTTAGGTTTTGAGGGTTGATTTTAGTGATAAGCAGTGATAGCCGCTGGAAATAGCAGATACTTTTGAAGAAACTCGTTAACAATTGCATTAGAAGTACAGGGATGGTCACCTGGTAGGCAGCGACCTTAAACTGACACCAACAAAAAACAATTGGATGTATTTACAAAAATCGCTTTTGATTATAAACCTTATATATTTGAAATTTTACTGAAACACTATATTAATGAAATGGGCTCCTTAGGCTTTCTTCATAGCAGCTATTCGTCTCACCTACTTTGTGGTAGCTTTTTAGCGTACGTCTGGCCGTATTTTTGAAATTGTGGCACGGGTATTATCCTCAAGTTTGGCCTCTGCCCGTGGACTTCTGTAGTGCATCTTGCTTTTTAGGTAGCCTTATAAAAAGTACTCGATTGGAGTGTTATATGACCTGGGGGGTCAGCCGCTAGACATAACCCTCAATGGAGACCAGTCGTTCTCCAAAATGATCCTTAAATAACGCGATTACGTTATATCTGCAAAGGGGAAGGCTATTTGGGGTGTAAAAAGTTCTAGTGGTGAACAGATTTTATAATTTACAGCTAACGTTAATGATTTTTTTAGTCCACGTATCGCATCAAAAAAAAGGTTTTTCTGTGATGTAAACTCCTTCCGTGAACAGCCCGGGAATTCTCGGTCTAGCACAATCGACGGAAGGCAGACAAGCATAAAATAAAAATATTCGTGCCGCCATTTCAGAGATAAAGTCAGATTTACAAGAGAAAGTGGCCAAAATCTGGACAAAACGAATAGCCGTCACAAACAAGCGCAAGGAAATTTTATGGCTATTTCAGTTGAGTAAAATCGTAAATATTATATTATCGAAAAAATATTGTCCGTTTTTCTAGCTAGATGTCATTAAAGTCATACATCTTAGGTCATATAAATCGGTAATGTCGTTTGAGAACTGGAATTTTACAGTAATGGATATGGTAAAATATTGGTAAAATTGTTATAATGTTTTTGCCCTGACTTGTTAAAAAAGTTAATGAAATTACTGTAATCTAACTTTCGCAATAAATTCATCAACATCAAGACCGACACGTAAATAGCCATAACATCGCTAAAGAACAAAACATCTACCATCAAATAATTTGAAACCATTTGAGGAAAGCTGGATAGATAAAGAAGCTTGAGGTTTAGGTGCTACATAAAACAATTTACTCAGTCGTATTTCCATCTGCGAAGCTCTATAGAAACACAACGAAATTTAGCCATTTCTAAGACGGTTAGGCACGAGTAATATAACGTGGAGCACATATATAAATAATATGCGGGGAAGAAGACAAAAAGTGTATGCAACATCCTACATTGCCACCAAAGGAGATGGCACTGCGTGTTTGGTAAGATCGGAAAGGAATTATGGATTATAAACTGCTACCGCCTGGTAGAACAATTGACCCGGACCGCTATCAGCCACTAATACGATTACAACAAGCCAGTGGAAAAAAATCGACCCGCACTAGTGAACACAACAGGCAGTATTTTCAGACAATGTCAAACCACATATCTTTAGCTACCCAGATAAAATTGAAAGACTGGGCAGCAAATCTTATTGCATCTGCCGTCCGGATCTTGTACCATCAGCCTGTCATCTATTTCAGTCTCTGCAGAACGATTTTAATTTAGTTCTAACAAAGGGATGCAAACATCTTTTGCCACAATTATTTTCCAATAAACCACAGAAGTTGTCAAGTAATGGAATGATCACGTTATCAGAAAACGGCAGAACATCATCGTCAAAATGGCGCCTATTTAGTTTACTAATATTATTTTAAAATATAAATAGTAGTTGCTTCAACTTTGGCTTAAAAGTCACGCAATATGTAAAGTTTGTAGAAAGCAAGATTTATGTGAATATATGTAGTTGTTTTTTATTGGCATTATCTTAAGGTCGCTTCCAGCCGGATGGCTATCTCAGCATTTCAAAGGCATTTTCAGTTTGAAATAAATTATGCGTAAAACATAAAAATATTCAGTGTATTATAATTACATATGAATATTCTTCATTAATAAAATGGGTAATATAACATAACTGGTATATAAATGTAACGAACTATCAACCAAAGAAAAACATTATTTACAACTTCAGAGGTCAAAATTTCGGAAAACTGGATTAAACAGATACGTTTCAAGTCATGCCAAAAGTAAACTTAAGTTTTGCACAACCAGCGCGGCCCATTCTCGTCAACTCTTGTTGCACTCGACCAATTAATAAATGAATTACTTTGTCGTCAAAACAATGAGTGAAGGCTTAGTTCAAGGTTCAAAAATGTATGTGTTTTGTAAAGTGGTGGCATCACAAAACGTAGCATATTTTTAAACAACTTGCTGACATTGATACAAAACATTGGTAAATGTAAGACAAGTGGGTAATAAGCTATAATTTCGAACGAGGCTGTATTTGTACCCAATTCCACGTTATGTCAAGAAATCAGGAGTAAACCGAATAGTTCATTAGGATTAGCAATGAATATAGTATATTTTTCCTTACGTGGGAAGATTTTTCGTCTTAGCAATACATTAACAGGAGGAGGGAAACGGTAAGGGGAAGATGCGTAGGTTCCTCATTAACCTTTGCATTAACATGATTTAAAAATGGAACTATTATTATGGTAATTAACCAAAAAAATCTATGGTTTCGCTTAAGTCCATGAAAGGCCATAAATTTATTCAAATGAAATTCTACTAAAGAACGTAAGAGCAACTGTGTCTCTATGGATTTCTCTACTATTGGCGAAATACGGAAATAAATATTTAACCTAAGAGTGGAAAATCGAACAAATCGAAACCAGGAAATATTATGTATAGCAGGATATTTTAAGAGCAAACAGTGAAACGTGTAAATTATATTACGTAAGAAGTAGACGATGTTGGCGTAAACTCTGTACTTTATTCATCATTGACCAGCACCAAAATAGTCTTTACTTTTCTCCATTATCATCTAGCATTGAACTGGTGAAGTAAGAGTCTATTATCTTTTCTGTTGAATTACGTGAAAAATTTTATCTTTCGCAGGCATGCGTAGTTTATGTTTGGGCCTGGGCCCCGCTGTCTTCGGCTTCATATTCTATCTGTTCCATGTGAACCTCAACAAGGAATCTAACAAAGGTTCAAACCTCACGCCACACTTCATTAATGGATCCGAGATTATCACTGAAACGCCGGTACCTGTGCGCTCAATAGGGGTCTGTATTTTTTTAGTTAGGTCTAAATATAATTATGTCACCTTACATATTTGCATAGATAAAGTTAACGATCAACGAAATATATAAATAGTAGGTCTTATGTATATAATTAGATTCATGTTTGCCAGAAAATGTTTGCATATTCAGCTCCAGAACATCTTATAAAAATATATCTATTTAACTTCATGTCGGTATCATGATTATTATATACGCGAATTAATTATAAGTGTATATATAATAGCAAAATAAGGTTCTTGGCAGGAAAAAAATTGCCAAGTTATACGTCTCTCGTGTACGCTTTTATGTGGATGGAAATCACATTTATTTTATTATGTTGGACCTTGCACTTTATGGGTACTTATGGATTCAGATTTATAATAAACGCACTCATGCTGACTGATGGATATGTCCGCAAAGCCCAATAACATTAAACCTGTTTAAAAACAAAAGTTCTGGCATCAATCAGAGCAGTAGACTAGATTACTTCAGGTATACATATTGAAGTCAAATCCTAACCCAAAATTTCTAACCGGACATAAAAACTGTCAAGAAAATATGTGTGTGTATGTGTGTCATTGAGACAAAGTGCAGGGGCAGATCTGAAATGAATTTATATCAAATATTTTTTTAAAAACGTTCCTCTATTTTCAACAATGTAGGTTGATTCAAAAGTTGCGGAATTCGCATTGTTAAGTAGACCCTTGCAGAGGGCCCCTCTCGATACTTGCTGGGTATTTCATGATAAATACTATAGCAGGAAGGCGTGTATTTGGCTCAATCAGGTATTGCCTCTAGCGTATCTTTTTTAACTGCCAGTATTTATCAAAATATCCCAGATCACTTCCACGCTGCAGTCTGCTAAATTATACCACAATGATACCGAACGATCTCAGAGTACCGGTGGAAATATTTTAGCAATACCAAGTGATTGCAACTGTAAAAATATAAGCTGTGTATCGATATAAGATTTCATGGTTGAGAGTCCTGCGCCCTTCCCAAACCGTGGCAGTCAACGTTTATTTGCTATATAAGAGGTGCTACAATCACAATTTGCTGTTATAGTCCAAACGATATATATATATATATATATATATATATATATATTTACTTGTTTCTAGTATTGTACAGTAGAGGATTTGATTCCCAACTTAGCTTTCATCTTTTCAATCTAACATTACTTCAAAATTGTACTGTTTGACTTTGGTCGGATTAATTGTACAAATTGTTGGAGCGCGGATCTACTAATTTAACTAATTACTTACTGTTTCGATCATTCTGGTGCTTTTCCTCCTTAATGTAGCTAATTCCTGGTCCTCCGTTCGTATTCGGCGCCTTGATGGCTTTGGGGGCCTTGGTAGTTTCCGTGTTTATTCCGGAAACTCCTCCACGAAGTGCGCATTCGCTACAGGATGTTGCTGGGCCGTCGCACCACAATGGTCATGATGGAGCCCATGGATCCCTAACTTCAGCGTCTCACAAGGAGTATCACTATAAAGAGTCTCATTCTAGAAGGTAAAAATAGGGAAGCTCGAAGATTCCGTTCCGGAGTCGATAATTTTAGGATGTTCGAATTAAGCTCGATCGATTGTAGGTGTGAATGGCAGCTGAACAGCGCTTGAACTGCGCATTATAATTCATATTTGGCGCTTATATAGCCACAGATCATTGCCATCGTTCGAACGAGGTTTCACTTCGATCGGACACTGGACACCGTAAATTAATATCATTTGAGAACAAGTAGTCGATTCTTATTGGTATTAGAATTTTCTAGCGAGACTCATAAATGGGCGGGGTGGCAATCCTCAACAATCTGCATGAGGACTTGACAGGACTTTATCAAACTGCGGCCTAAATCAAAGCTGCGCAATGACTTCAAACTCCCTATTCTCCTGATTCAAGTCCAAATCTTAGTGTGGATGATTCCATCCATTAAGATGGCACTCAATAGATGGTGTTTTTATGTTTTAACTTAAAAGGTTTAAACTTTTAAACAAAATTATAAATAAAAACGAAAAGGGTGAATACCATATTAACCAAAGCTTCCGGTTAACTATCTCTAATGTGCATAACGAAGGAGAATGCATTTAATTCATATCAAAAGTTTTAAAAAGTTAGGTCTTCATTTAATCCGAGAACCCTGATAGCGCTGGAGTAGGTCAGAATAGATCCATTATAGAATTACGTGATTACATAATGAACGAGCATTACAACATAAAGTAGGACGTTATCAAGCTAAAGTAACTTTTTTTTCTATTGAATCTATACTAAAATGTAATTGATAAAGTAATTATTGTGTGTGTAAGAAACGGAAACCTGAAAATCCGTTGACTTTCAAAATTCAACAGCCTTTTACACTGAATATTTAATAACAGCCCAAGTTTATTAAGGGTTATGTGTATATTTTTGATTCGAAATGCATGTCTTCGCTTAAACTTTTTTAATATAAGAATTTCCATGTCTTTGATATTTAACATTAGGTCGTTCCACTCCTCCGTGTTCAGATTGCTAAACATTGAATAGACTTAAAATCAACATGCAACATACTACGATTTTTTAACAATACGAAACCAAAAGTACATAGATGGAAGAGAAATTATAACTCTATAATTTTTTTGAACTCTATAGTCAAATGTTGAATTCATCCATATTGCATGCACTTGATTTTTAGAAGTAATCGTTTTTTGTTGTTTCGATTATAGAGCACTAGTATTGTTAATATTTATTTTGGAACCGTTTTTGTAATGCCGCTGACTTCTAATAATACTGAGTGTGATGTTGTATATATATATAATATTGCCTGAAAGTTTTATTAATACAATGAAGTAAATTATCAGGTTGAAATTGTCTGTGATTTACAATCATCAGCGTCTGCGTATCATCATAGTACCAAGAAGCCAGTGGGATTTACCAAAGATACATCGATCCGTGTTAATTTAAAAATGCTAGAATCCTTTGGTTTTCATTCCTTTTATTGTTGTTGCAGGTGATAATTTTCAAAGGTCCTTAAAAGGATTATTTATTTTCAAAAGGCTTAAGTTAAACCTAAAATGTTCACGTAGGTTACTACTCGTACATACTGCGTTTAAAATCTGTGCCTATATTCTCCAGCAGTATACTCCGCCGAAGCTCTGTTCACTATAGTATATGGCTCAAAAATGTATACTCTAGTGCTGTGTATGCGATTATTAAAGCATTGCGAAATAAAGCCGTTGGCGTTAGAATATTTTATAGATTAAAAACTCAGATCTCCATCATCAATGAAAATTATTTAAGCCAAATTACTGGAGCCTGAATACGAGTTCCTGAACTAAATGCTCCATCTATTCAAAACAACTTAGCCTAATGGATTAGCAAATAAAAAATCCTAGCTAACGATAGAGACAAATACTATCCTTCTCTAATATTTACAGAAAGTCTAAGCAAGTCCCAGAATGATGTGATTCATATATAAATGCCAAAAACGCGTTAGTGTTAGGCGACCACCTATTATTAGATATGAATGCAGCTTTAAACAGATGCAAACTCTTACTCGATGAACTTCACGGTATACGCAGTATATGCACACTGAAAGTTGCCTTCAGTGTATTTCTTCGGTGTAAATTAATAACGCCTTTTAATTTGGTTTATTTAGGGAATCTCATCAGTCACATGCTAGGACGGCTTCCCTCAATTCTCAACGGTTCAAATCTGACTCTGTCTGCTCAGAAGAAATTATTACCTGTGTGACGTCTACAACTCACCGGCGTCAGTCCTCGTACGGCGGAGGGAATAACGAGTTAGGAGCTGTGGTTCGATTTCCACTTATGGCGGATACTGATCCCCTTTAGGCATTATTTAATTCAATTGATAACCATAACGAGATAGAAGTATGTTAAAATCTGTACGCCAAATAACCCGCATTCCTTTTTTGCGGGCAGTGATATTGCAGGAAAGTCGTTCACTGAACGACGCATCTTGTGTTGTATAGTCTAGCGAGAATATTTATAACAAAAAGAAGGTAGAAACCTCTGGCATGATTTTTAGAGAAAGCAACATTGAGGAAACGCAACGGCATCAGTAAAGCCAGTGGTTACTGTATGTATGATTTCTTCGTGCACTTACCCACTATAGTCGCTACGACTCTGATTTATAGGGGAATGTTGTAAGTGTTGAACTTATAGCAATTATATAATATAAAAAGAGAACATCCGGAAAGAAGAAAAACTCGCTGAGGTGGTGCTGTACTCTTTGCACGAATATGTTACTGGAGGCAGGTTGAAATGATGCGCATCACATGATGGACATTCATGGATGGAGGCTGAGAACTATAGTAGAGGTAGCAATTAATTCTACATAGTATAATTAATGATAGTATTGTATTATGCTGGCGGTGGATGTGCCGGTTCTAAAAATCAGATTTGTAGTTATGTTGAAATTATGAGGTCCCTATTCAAGAAAAAAACCTTTAGATCTTTTTTCTTCTTTCACGTGCTATAAAATGAATTGTTGCCCAATAATGTCAACGGTAATAATGGTTAACAGAAATAACAACAGGAAAGCATCGGCATTGTAAAGAAATCCATTGTGAATAACAGTTGGACATAATTCAACTCGAATAGATAAACACACAAACAACGAGTGAAATAATTGCCATCGATTAGCACAAAGGAACACATCTCGCCCAAGCACGCTTGTGCTACACAATCCAGTTGTGGAGCACAAGTTATTTTAATTATTAAAGTGAGCTACGATTGCAGATCTGTTGTAAGGATCTATAAAATGGAAATACTTGTAGCCATCCGAAATGTATCGTCGTTTGTACGGTAGTGTTTATAAATTCATTCAGACGTTCATTGAGATACTAGAGTGATTGAGATGCCACGTATTGAACATGTAAATGATATTCCAGGCGGAATATTGTCTTGAACATTTTCAACTGAATTTCTTATTAATACTTGAAGGCCATTTGGTATGCTATATTTTTTTTTTTAAATTTTGTCATTAGGTATTTTTTTCTGTCTAATGTTTTCTGACAATTGATTTTCGTGTGTTGCTAACGCTCAGTGCTACTAGAAATTCAAATAACAACGACACCGAGCGTGGGACTTTAGTACACACAGCATTAAACCATTGAGGAAGGAAAAGCATTTTCTATAAATTCATCGTAGCTTTCAAGCTCAAATGTAGTTCACTTACAATGACTCTCCCAGTTGAGTATATTTGCCTTCAGTTATTTTGTGCTAGTTAAATAAACCACAATAAATGTTTTAAAATGTGACCAACTGTTGTTGTAGGAACTTCAATTTTACTTTAACATGACAATTTATCTTCTGTATTTCTGTGTAGATATCAGCTATATCCAGTCTTTGGTGGTACAAAACGTACGCATGATCTTGTTTTTGGGTAGTTTAAAGAAAGCATACACTGTAGTTTTGAACACAGTGCCGAAACAGTTGTTGAATAAACAGTAACCTGTTATAAATTAGCCTTTAAGCCCACCGTATAAGTTCTCGATTTCTAGTGTGCCAACATATTCCTTTGTCCCCTTTTATCCTTAGCTGTATCAGGAAGATTCACGCTGTTAACGATTAGATCTCTTTAATTGCTTGAGTGCTACGTATCTAGTAAAAGAAAAATCGGATCGCACAGTTACATCTGTATCGAAAAACAAAACTTTCAGTACTAAAGTTCAACAACGTTCACGGGTACAGTAACGTCTGCCTATTTTTGTGCTTTACACCTTAGTAACGACAAAAGCGGAATATGTAATTCAATATTTACAAAGGAACTCGTACTGCATACTATCAAAAGACGATAGACTGAATATAGAGTCATTTCGTAATACATCAACTCATAATATCAACGGAAATCTAGGGTACTCTGGTCGCATCGTATAAATAATTATGTTCGAAGAAACACTGACGTCGCATCGGATACGTTCGGCATACCTGTTTACATATTAATCATTCCACGTAAAACAATACAGTACATAGATGTAATTGAGGTAAGAATGGTTGTCTATTAGCGACTTATATGGAAATTTCTATACGGAAGTTTTATGTAGACTTATATAGTTTAGATTTATTAACTTTTCATGTCTACCATGAGTTTTCTATTTTTCTTTCTTTAGTAGAATAAGTACCAACAAAAATTTGTTGGTGGAGTACTCTGTTTGACTTATTTCATATTTTGTGTAAAAACAATCAGACAACTGAAAATTGCTAACATCTTCACGGTAGACGAAGTTTATAAAAAAATATAGATCCAGTAATTTTTGTTAGAATCCGTATTAAAGAGACAAAGCTTCGCGAATGCGGTAGGTGTAGGCGAGGTTAAAGAAGCACTTTTTGAAATTAATTTTTGTTAAACAAGGTACGTCTACATTGCAGTGGTAAGCGCTACCATGGCTTTTGCAAGCGGTGAGATGAACTTCTCTCTGGAAATTCAATAATAAATAAGAATATGTGAAAACATGCGTATTTTTATGCGAGACGCATGTGACGACGCACGAATTGTGAACGATAGTTCTGTTAAAGCTTTTTTGCGGATATGCGAGTTGGGTGAAATATATATTAAGCAATGCCACCTGCCTGTAATCACGTTTGTTAATACGGTATACTTTCAGTTTGAGACAAACATTTATTCCGTTCCTTTGTAAGCTGCATTTAAATGAAAACAGATCTTTAAGAAAATGATCTTTGGCAGATACGTTTATTCAATTCAGTTAGCATGCGAAGCGTCAAGTAAATTTACTTAAATGACTTTAGTAATTGCCAGTGAGGTCATTGTCGGTTTGTTATGGTCTCACTTCCACATGTCGTATTTTGAAATCTATCTCAAGGCTGAAAATAGACCAAAAGTTTCGAACACTCAATGGCACAAAACACACAAAAACAAAAGGGACATTAGAAGACAAAACTAATCTAGGCTGTAGCCAACACTATAGGCAATTTACGTGTTTCGGAATCATTGAAAATAATATTTTTGTGCCCTTATTGATAACTCATCATTCACCCTAATTTTTGTTGTCTTCGCATTGGCGTGTGGAAATTTATTGAACAAATCTGCGTTCGCATCCCGAATTCATGTTCTGAATCCGCCACGATGCAAAATGTGATTCAATAATTTACCAAAAAGAGTGGAGAAACGCACGCCAGCTACGGCACACAGTCTTGTGACCCACACAGTCACACACTGACCAAATTTATCTTAAGGTGTTCCGAATATCATTCTATCATTTTGTAAGTAGACGTCTGTGCATTATTTATGCTCCTGCGTCCTTGGACTCGGGAATGGCGGTCTAATCATCTTTGCGCACATCGCGTTTGCGTCTATGCGTATAATACCAACCTCAAGAAATTATCCTTCTGGAGTTCGTTGTAGAATTTAATAGCTGTTATCTGTTGATGAAGGCACCAGAAGACCACCGTGCGCTTTTTAAGCTTATCAAGGAAAAACTGCCCGCCCATCAAGAACTGTAACTTAATTGTTAGGGTCGTTTTCTAAAAACTATGAGAACCAGAGAACGTAGTTAAATAACGCTATGTATAGGTTCACAAAGCTCGATGTTTCTACGGCTTTAAAATACGGATGTTCAAATTCTGAAATTAATATCAACATTTTTAAGAACTTATTCCCTGTAATTTTTCATGAAGTATAATGGAGAAATAAATCGAATAAATTAAACTATCACGTATTGCGCAAGTATAATAGCAGTAGTAGCAGAAAGGAAGACGTTTGCAACGACAAACTAGAACTTAATTAGTCTAATGACAACAATAGCAACAACTAATGTAACGATTAAAGATTTCTACTTGGACTTAAAATCCCGTAATACAACATATAGCCCTATTTATTAGCACTGACATTTTAAAAACGACAGTGATTTAATGTGAAGAGTATTTTATATTCAAGAAGTATTATATCAGACATGTGGCATCACCAATCTTTACATATTATACGGAACCTTAGAGTTATCGATCTAGACGAAACGACGTAACACGTGAGAAAAGTTGGCACCAAATTCAAGTGCGTTCGTGTATGAGTTAAAATGTGTATGCAGTTTCCTTGTCTTTAAAATGCGACCGCGATATCACCGAAGAAACAGTAAAATAAGTGGCAAAGTTTCGGCACCAGTATTGGATTGAGCACGTACTAATAAACATATTAGCTTAACTGAAATAATGATAATAAAAGTTATGATCCTAGTGTTGAGAGAAAACTGTAATATTGAATCGTATTGACGTGGTCCTGTTGTACATATGTAGTTGACTAGGTGACAAGATATACAAGGGCGTTGATACAATAAAAGTGAATAATCACCGAGCAGCAAAGTAGCTGGATCTCATTACAAAAAAAAAATGTACTAGAAAATCCATGATAAGAACAAGAATAAACTGGGCGGAAATTGATTTTTTTTGCAGTCAAAACATTAGCATGTTTTTGTTTATAGCTTTCTATTACGTGCAAAAATAAAATAAAATATTATAGTAAAATAAAAAAATAGGACAAAAACAGTGGTAGAGTTTCATTCATCACCTTAATTTGTATGATGGTTGTTCATTCGTTCGTCAGCTTCCAAATTTTCTGGCGGCAGAACACGAAATCAAAATAGCGGGAGGTCTGCGTCCTGACTTCGTTTATTTTGAGAATAGTCCTAACAGATCTTGTATTTAGGTGTCAACCTGACCCCGTGCCGTGGTCCAGTAGTCGCGCGTTTGCCTACAAAATTTGGAGACATGTGAAATTAGGTTCGACACCGTACGTAGACACATTTAATCTCCTAGTGAAGCAATCTCCAGAGTCAGTAGATCCTGACGTTACACCCAAAAATTAACATATTGGACGGACGGCAGCATATCAGGCGAATAAATCGCATAAGGTTCGAAGAAAAACCTTTTCCGAGTCCTGACTAAAAGACGGCTTCGTACTGTTAAAGCTTAGTAAACTGTTTTGTAAAGCGAAAAAAATGAAATTGGGGCTTTTCATGTCTAAATTAACCGTGCTCTAGTTAATTTCGTTCCTTGCACTATATTCGAGTAGGCATTGAGGGTCACCCCGTAGCATTTTGCTCTGATGTTGCAGCAGATTTACTTCCCATTACAAGTAATAATATTATACCCGAAGATTCCTTTAGTAAGGAGGTTTACTCAGTTCATAGCAGGTAAACAATTAATATATAAATATATATAAGTTCAACAATTAGCACTGGGTTTAAGGAGAAGTTTTATTCTTCATTGTTCACCCTATTTGTGCATATTTGTACACATAATATTGTTATTACAATCCTCACAATGAAAATAGACGGAAAAAATTCTGAGCATGTAAAGTTTGTAGAATAAATAAGCAAGGTGACCTTGCAGCCGTAGTATCAACAGATCCTTGCGATGATTCCCCCGTTTTTGTACTTTTTGACGGAAAATCTATAACACGATAGAATATATATTCATGCTTTTAAGTTCTTAGCAATGTTGGCACCAACTGCTGGCAAAATACAATTTCATATTTTTAATAGAGCTTTTGAAAGACTCCAGCAGCAACTAAACTGCAAAGTAAATATTTTGTGCGATCTAGTCAAAAGTTAGATCTTTTTGACATTTTACTAGCGTTTCGTTAATTTTCCTTTGAAAATTTATGTGTGTATGGCATGGATAAGTGACTATAAGTTTTAAATGGAAAGCTAATTTTACCTTTACGCGCAAAGAGATTATTTAAATTTCTACATTAACAAGATAAAAAAACGAAACTCGAACGGAATATGCTCTGGAAATTCTACTTTTCAAAGTTCTAATTCTAAACTAAAAACTTACATGCATTACTTATCATGTTTATATGCACACCATTGAAAAATATAATACTAAACAGTCATATTTTTGCCGCTCTCAGCCTGGCCTAAGTTCCCTAGCTTAAGCCCGCTTACGTTCAAGTAGATTCTGTGGGCATGCAATAATAGATTCATCGAATTTTAGTCTGCTTGTGCAGACGAGATGCGAGGAGAAAGCTATTGCGGTAACTAGGGCAAGAGGCACGAATTCTGTCAATGACCGTCTGCTGTGTTGTTACTGTCTTTTTCTCTCCAAGTGTCTTTGATAATAATTGTTTGGATTAGTGTTCATAGTGGAAAAAGTTTTACGTCTATTCGACAGGAATTGTTCATCCCCTATGCAAAAAGACTATCGTCGACCAAGTGTAATGTATCATCTGTCACTACACTATGACGGTGGTGGAGGCTCGATGGTAATTCAAAGTGAATGAGTCTGCAGAGTGCCGGCATGAGGAGTTGCTTGACAGCTATGAGGTTTGAAGGGCCTCCGTGAGGAAAATAATGCAGGAGGATAACGTGGGCCCTCAATGGGCTGCTCTAAAGCCGCTCGAGAAGGATCACAGTATTTCTATTGGACCTCTGCAAGAGTTTCTCCAAAGCGATAAACTCAAAAATGTAAGTCAGCTCTGAAGGGAGTCTCCTTGTGCTTTCGGAATGTATCAGCTGATAATTATATTGTTTATTCTCGCACATTAATACTCAACGGTTGGGCAAAAATACACACGAAATAGAAGATTGCAACTTATGATAACACCTTCGTATTGTAGCTGAAGAAATATTATAAATTACGACTTTTATTGGGGTATTGATATTTACCCTCGGTTAGCAGTATTGGTGACTTCATGATTAGTTATACTTGCTTAATTATGTGTTGGTAGCAAATACAATGACAGGGCAATTTCTTATTAGTCTAAGACTAAAATAATCGAGATTATTATTGGAGAGTATATTCCTTTTTTTATTCTTTAAGTTTTAGACCTTGTTTGCGTATGAAAAACGACAAAAAATTATTAGGTACAACTTCTTACTTTCTTGGTGGTTGTTAATGATGTTTGGCGTGAATTCTTTCAACTTTGCTATTCTATAGGAAGTTCTTCCATTTAAGCGGTTATGTTAGCAAAAATCAGAACAAGCGGAAATATATCTCTGCTCGCCCTCTTATGTTTTATACACCTCAGAGGTTACATATTTGTAAAAAAAAATGGTTCATAATGATTGCAAATACTCCAATGTTACAGTGGTATTTTCCCCGAACTGAGAAGAGGTTGTTAGACTACTTTGGTAAGAAGTCGCATTTAGTTAGCACTTATATTGCACGAATCCCGTTGTCCCGTTGAACCATTAGAGTTATTTTGTTGCGGTTCTCCTAGTGATCGCCTTCCGCTTAATCTATTGCCTCTAGCTATTTGATGATTTTGTCACAGCTACCCCATTATCTTCCAGTAGCAACTTACTCAGCCTTATTATCTTATTCGGTTATTCAGTTATGCTAATTCAGATATATCGGATTTGTAATGTAGCCATCCCGTAAGCTTCTTCACCTTCTATGACAATTGTCCCGTTCTCCTATTAGTATCATTATCTTTAATTTTCGTTAACAGGCACGTAAATGAACTCTAGATGTCATTATGTCAAAAAGTTTATAGAAGACATTATAATTTAAATAAGTTGTTGCATGTATATATGCGTTCGTTATTACTGATACAGCAACGAAGTCCTATTATTGTATGTTTATTTCATTTTTGGGAGCAATCTAGAAAATACGCAAAAATATCTTGTTTTAGATTTTGGGTGGAAAAGTCCAAGAAAAGTAAACGCGAGATACCAGCCTATTTATCGTTCTTGAACTCTATAATACTACACAGACTGTGCGGACAGAAAATAAATTTGAAGTACAAAATAGATTATGTAATACATTTTGGTGAAGATTGGTGTTCTGTGGCGTTTTAACGTCATTCTCCAAGAACATAAACTATAACCATTTGCTCTGTTTAGCTTTAACATATTTTTTCCTCTTAAAGCAATATTTTTTTTAAATATCGCTGCAAAAGCATTAACACCCAATTAACTTGCAGCACCTAAAACGTGTGTAGAATGAATATTTCTGTAATTTTACATTTTTCTCCAACACGCTATGTGTTTTCTGTAAACCCTTAGCTACAATGGTAGCTGCTTCAAGGCAGGCTTTCAACTAAAGCCAGCATATAAAATGACGGGCAGAGCGTGTTGTACTAAAAAGTTATATGCAGTTCCAGCCCTCCTTGGTAACTAGTTTCTTCATCCGATCCGCAAGCTTACTAGTACATACCCAAATGATATCGTATATGAGGTTTTATGTCATGATAGCGAACAACGGTCCGTTTTTATGAACATTCGTTAATACTGCACCTGTTTTATATTCTCGTACCAGATGTCAAGAATAGCAAGTTTCTCGACACAGATTTCAAAGTACATTTTAGTGTCATCTGCATACATTTAGAATGATATACCGCCGACAAGCTTTTGTAGGTAGAACTGGTGTGGAATGAAAATGAACTGGTGAGAAGTTCCCTGTGGGCATTCTGACATGGCCTTTCCGTCATTTGTTCTACCATGGAACGTTATTCTGTAAGCAAGCTTTCACTTTAACTACCTTTAGTACCAGCCAAAGTGTAGTATATTAACGGGTATGTAATAAGTGACCAAATCCAGATTGAAAGTACAGGTGATATCAGAACATTTTTATTGTTCACTGTTCAGTTGTCCTGAGTTTCCAAAAGTTCAAAGGCGCCTAAGGGCTGTCGCTTATAGGCAAACGGTTCATTTGCAATCATATAAAAGGAATTGGCATTTTCATAAATTGAAAAATGCAATTAGCACTATTTTGCCGAAAATATTTACTACATTCTCTTTTGAAGTTGAAAGGCATGAGGCTGAGCGTAAAATGGACATTAGAAGGCCGAAAAATGGGTTGTCTACTTGAGAGCATGTAGCCTTTAAAGGTCTTTTGGCTTACCATTGGCTAACTCCGAAACATTTTAGCTGAGGGTTAGTCACAAGTGTGCAGGACACTACTACGAAAGCAGTGAAGGGCGTGTGTGAACACTGGTACCTTTTATCTTTTATAAGAGCTTATTTGGAAAGGCAACGCCTATAAAGACCTGATATTTCAGATCGCAGCCATAATTGTTCGTTTTAAAGTAAATGTTTTTTCCTGATTTTCATCTTTTCTACCCTCCTAATTTAAGAGGAGACAAAATACACGCCTCTGTATTATTTGCTTGCAAAGAGAGCTAGATGTTTGGCTCGGTAGTCCTGATTCGGACACGTGACTTAAGATATGATACAATCTCTACTAGTGTAATCAATTCACGTAAGGCTAGTTGAATATATATCAAAAGTTTATTTACTGGAAATAAAATGATGTGGACTTCTGAATAATATTCCATATGTTTTCTAAGCTTTAACAGCTAGAAACATTTTTTTCTGGGCTAATGGTTATTTCCGCTACGGCTTGCTAGTGAAGTCATTTAAAAAATACAGGAGCTGAAAACACGAATATTGATATGGAACAAAGCTAATGTAATTGTACATCACTATAGTACGGAATAAAAAGTACGGAATAAAAATACCACTATTCGATTTAAAAAAATCTAGTGTCCGATGTCACGAGAAATGTGAAAGGAACAGAGCACAAATTTTACAAATATAAGAAACTTTAGTTTCTGTGCATAATGTACCTCAATTGGCGTATTAGTTTAAATTAATTGAAGTTCAACTAATCTCTAAAGATGCGATACATATTGGCTGGCTTTGTTTTCAATGTGTAGTGCAAACCAAGTCTTCTGTAATGGGTTAAAGTAAGAATGAAAACATATATAAAAGTTGTTTTTTTCATTCTGCGAGCACTGAGATAAAACACAGAGCCCACTTTTCACCTAATCACGCTACTATCACAATGATACTCATAATAGTTGTGTTGTGCTCTGTCTCTGTAATAAGTAATACCTGCCTTTTCTTTTGCTTATAAATATGGTATTTTAAGTAAGTTTGAAAAGGCATTCTATTTATTACAACTGCAATTTATAGTTGCTACGGCGGCGGTCTAATTCCTAGTTGAATCTATTCGATTTTTTAATTATTGCATTTCTAATTTTAACTCATGCTACCTACTAGTAATAAATTTCTCCCGATGTCGATCCTACAGAAGAGCTAGAAATGTAGGAAATGCTACGCTATCGGGTGAAATCACAATCAGCGCCCAAATATCGAGTTATATGTAATATGCTGCTGTCCCGTAAATTTTTACGTTTAGCGGTAAGATAATAGTAGATTATTACAAGGAAATTCGGCTAATTGAACACATCGTGTATTGTGCACCGCCACCAGATGAAATCTGGCTGTTAAACACTCTACTTTTCTAGAAACTAGAGAAAATGAGTTCAGAAAAAATATTTTTTAGTCCCCCTCATTGATCAAGTTTTTGTTGCTCGAAGGTTACAGCGCTATAAGTACGAATAGTACCAGTAGCAAAACACTAACCAGATGTTGGGACCCGAAGGACAAGAACGCATTGGCGATGATCGGAAAGGTTTTTCATGAAAGCAGAGCTTAAAATCTTAGAACTCTGTTGGCCAAAATTGTTATTTCGCATGTAACATGTTGCAGAATTATAACTTAAGTGTCAAAAATGTGGACGCTGAATACAGGATGGGCCTTCCGTGATTTGACATTAGGCTAATCGGAAATGCGTGCAATTTGTAGAACTTATATCGGCGAAAAACCCGCCTGGAGCATACGGTGGCATCGTTCGATCTCTACTGCCAATTGGAGAGAAACTTGGCGAGGTAATGGTGTCGTCGTGGAGAGAAATCGAATTTGATGGCAATATCGCATAAATTCGGATGTAAAATTACGCTAGTACTTGCAATAGACATTGAGGGCATCTGCTAGTATAAGATACTCGCTAAAAAGGAAACAATAAATACGGTCCGCTGTCTGGATTTTTTTTTAAGAGATTCGTATACCGTTTGCAATCGAAAGCACGCAGTCTGGTTATTTAATGACAGTGTTA